AAGTGTGTCTGAATAATACTTCTACATAAGAAGGAAGAGTGTATGGATACTTGCCATCAAAAGGACTACTGGGAGTCGCTGTGTTAGAAGGAGGCACCGCAGGCGCTGTGCAGCGAGCTTTCACAGCGGCAGCTTTCACCATTAAAATGCTAGTGAAATGAGATGAGAATAATCGTCAGTCAGTTCTCTCCGTCTACATTAAGAGGATAGGCCTATTTTTCACAATTTATCAAGCTCAGCTCTCTCCTCCAATGACTTAACTTGTTTTTAACAACTGCTACAAACCTCAGCTTTCTGTTACAGGGTCACATAAAAGTAACATTGTTAACGTTGCCATTTTTGTCTTTTGAAGTCAGATTCTATTTTCTGACTCAGGTTTCAACTTGTTCAACAGCCAGTATAGTTGGGCTACTGGACTTTTTAATCTCTTGAGATTTGATAGGTAACTATCTCCCCTTATTCTGCCCACCACAGTTCCTTTAAATTAGAACTTAAGAAAATATTTTCCTTCACTGAGAAGCTTCAAGTGCTGTGCAATTAGCAATGAATACATAAACTAATTTCTAGAATAATTATTTTTTTTAAAAAAGTTTCTGGATGCTTTAAAATAATTGCGTATTATAGAATAGCTGAGACTTTTTATATAACTGAAAAAAGTTATAACTCTTAAAATAACATAACTCTTAAATAATACCTTAAAATGACTTAAATAGTATCACTGGGTGATATGTATTCCTCCTCTCTCCCTGATCAGAGTGATATCTTTCCAGATTTTGTGTTTTCCTTTAGCATTTTACTTTGATCCAAGTCATGTAACTTTTCTTTGTTATAGTTTTAAATATACATTCAAAATCATTTGGTTGTCCTTTAAAAGATCAAAGCCTAAAACCTATTTGTGCTTGGCTTTATTATATGATTAGAAGACTTTCTAATTGAATTTAATTAGAGAGGATAGAATGAAACCAATATAAAGTCAGCAAAGCAACAGCCTCTAAGAAGAGGTTGGGAGTGATCACATACTGCTCTGTGGAGCTAAAATAGATTTCCACTTCAAGGGTCTGCTAATAAGAGCTTACAATTGTAGAGCTATAGTACTTTTAATTTCACTAAGCAATAAATAAAATATTAGATCTGAATGTGTTAATAAAAAGTGATTTATTTTTAATCATATAAGTGAATTAAAATTATTGATTCTTATTTCTTATTTATTTCATCAGTAAAATCAATTAAGTCAGTGAGAAATTTGATGAGGGGAGGAAATTTCACTCAATGCCAGTCCAAACTACTTTTTATTTTTAAATATCTAGTCCTCAGTCATTTCTAGGCTTTAAAATTCATAGAATCAGGATTTATAAGCATAAAGCACTTACATGAGGACAAACCATTCATAGCAGATCTGAATAAACCTTCCTAATGTAACTTTATAAAATCCAGATTTGAAACTTCTTTTGATATTTTGTAAGCATTTTCATATTGTGTTTACAAGCAATAAGGATTCTCTGTTGCCAGCATTGTTCATGTTGACCCTCTAAGTTTTTTTAGAACACAATACAGACACTCATACCTCCCCCTACCCTTTCCCTATAGTATTCCCTACATTCAGCTAGAAGTGCAAGCTTTGTTTTCTAAGCCCTTTGAAAGGAAGTGAATAGATCTAAGAAGTAAAGCTGGAACAGAAAGACAAAGGTGTAAAGAATTTCCCACCAGTCAAGACTTTGTGGGTGGGGAGAAAAGCTGAAAATCTAATTCTCTGTTTTTTTTTTTTTTCATGCAGAAATGAAATTATCTTTTATTTCACTCAAATGAATTAGTCTAGAGAAGACTTTTTTTTTGCTTATAATTTCAGTACTAATATGAATGTGTTGGACCACTTTTGGCTAATTCAGTGGTTCTCACCCAGGGGTGATTTTGCCCCCCAAGGGACATTTAGCAACATCTGGAGACATTTTTGTTTGTCACAACTAGGGCAGGGTGGGGAGGTGAGGGGTGCAACTGCATCTAGTGGGTAGAGAGGCCAGGGATGCTGTTAAAAATCTAACAGTGCAGAGGTTAGTCCCCCACCACAGCAAAGACTTACTGGCCCCAAACGTCAGTAGTATGAAGTTGAAAAATCTTTGATCAAGAGGATGTTATTAACTTTCTTTGGTATGATGTCAGTGTTTAAAGATTTTATTATAAAAGTGTAAGCACTAGAGGGCAGTACCTGCCCAGCGGTTGTGACTGACATTACTTTACTTTGGGGGTCTTTGAAGGAAAAAAAGAGCTCATGATTTAGGTAACTTGAAGAAAAGTGGCTTTAGGAGGCCCTTAAGGAATTATTTAAGTAATTCTAGATCAAAAGGCAGTTTTAATGATAACTGTTGCTGAAATCAGTAAAAGCAGAGCAAGTTTTTTTTTTTCTTCTTTTTATAAATGATGCCTTGAGAACTTTTGCCAGAGAAAGGGGAAAATTCACACTAGGTTTTCACACACAGAAACACTAACGTCATTGCCACCTACACTTCTGTTTGTTCTGTTGAAGCAGGTGATGGAAAGTGGCTATTCCTAGGGCATGTGGATCATTGTAATGCTGTGGAAGCTGTGTATGGAAAAGGGGGACTAAGAGCAGACAGGCAAAGCCGATTGAACCCATTAGACAAGGCAGAGAGAGTCTGACACAGCTCTTTGATTCTCTGAAACAGATAAATAATAACCATTTACTTGCCTGAAAACATTTAATTAGCTGACTATGCAAGAATGCAATAAAATTTTCTGTTTTCTCCTAAGTATCAGTCCAGTTTTAAAAAATGAAACATTTTCTCTCTTCAGAGTGAGACATCCAGGCTCAAGACTAAGTTTTTGAGTATTTTAGTAAAAATTGAACATCTTTTTCCCAAACAGTACAAACCATTTGCTAAATTCACATTACACCTACACATTCCTTTTTATTTATTATTAAACATTAAAGATATACAACACGGTGTAAAGAATGGACATTTATGAACCAATCTAACTGAAACCCTCTGCATACCCTTTCTTCAATTGTAACCCTCTCTTCCTGCTTTCTGCCCTGCCATCATGCCCAGGTGCCCAGGTAAGTGACTTTAATGTTTAACATTCTCATCTATTTCTTCGTACTTTTATTACATATGTTAAATATGCACAGTAATGTATAATTTTTGCGTATTTAAAAACGTTTTATAGATGGCATGTAAGTATTCTATAATTTGTGTTTTGCCTTCAACATTATGTTTGTGAGATTCATCCATGTTGATACAAGTATCTCTAGGTACACCAATATTTATTCATCATCTTCCTACTATAGATATTTAGGTTGTTTCCCATTATTTACTAATCCAAATAATGATGTTATGTATGTTCTCATATGATAGCTGCTTTTGTGCATGTGTAACAATTCTCTGGGGCAGGAGTCAGCAAACTACATCCTGGCCCATAAGGCTTTCCCACCTATGTTTGTATATCCAGGAGCTAAGAATGGTTTTTGCATTATTGAATGATTTTTTAAAAATTAAAAAAAGACTATTATTTTATGACATGTTTTTGAAAATTACATGAAAATTCATATTTCAGTGTCCATAAATAAAATTCTATTGGAACAGCCATACTCATTTTTTAATATGTTACCTATGGCTATTTTCAGGCCCAGTGAGTAGTTACAACAGAGATTAGATTGTTTGCAAAGACTGAAATATTTACTGTCTGACCCTTCATAGAAAAAGTTTGCTGATTTCTGCTCTAATGTATACATGTAAGAATGGAATTGCTCAGTTGCACGTATTCATTTTTTGCTGTCTTATCAATTAAATCTAAGTTAAAAATGCAAAATCCTGTAATCTGTTGCATCAGACTGTATGTTTTCTAAAACTCTGAAACAAATATGGAAATAATCTGAGTCTTAATGCTTTCATTTGGTTTAAGTAATGAGCTTAGACACATTTTTGTGGTAGCTTCTTTCCCCCTAGCTCCGGGTGGGTACTAATTGGTATAGTGGTACAGAATACTAATTAGGTTTATCATTCTTTTGAGAAGGTGCTGGGAATGGAAAAAGACTAGGAAAATAATGAACTGGTATAATTTTTGAGCTTACTTTTAAAGTCTTTTTTAAATATTCAAGAATATGTGATCTAAAAAAACCAAGTAGTTCAGATTGACTTTATGGTCACTAGCTTTCCTGCCCTCTACTAGAATGTAAACTCCATGAAGACAGCAATTTTTTTTTCTATTTTTGTTTATACTTGTAAAAATGCCTAGCACATAGTAGATGTTCAAGGAATATTTAGTAGTTGAATAAATGGATATATATAAAGAACACAATCCATATGATGGAAAGCTTGATATTCATTGAACTCTGGATATTTATAATAGTTAATATTTTTATTAATATAATATACTTATAATATTTATAATTTAATATTAAGCAACACTGTGTTTGGAATTATGCAAGATATTTCCTGTTTTCGTCTAGGTATTTTATATGGAAAGGCATAGTTTGTAACTTTGCTCTCTTTGGTAAATAAAAATGGTGATGAAAATAGCTGACTGTACTGAGTAAGCGCTAGGCCTGGTTCTAAGTGCATTACATGTGTACACTCGTTTAATCTATGTAACAGCTCCAGAAGGTACATATGATTATTATCATCTCCATTTTTACCAGTGAGGGAACTAAACACAGAGAGTTTAAGTAATCACCTAAGGTTTTAAAGCTAGTACGTGGCGGAGCAGAGATTTGAACCCAAAGTTTGGAAATTCTATTGTTTAAACCTGGAAGGAGGGATGTTTGAAGTCCTGTAGTCCTTTAAGGCAAGCTATGTAACAGGAATATAACATGAACCACTTTTTAAATTTAAAGTTTTCTAGTAGCCACATTAAAAATGTTTTAAAAATTGGTGAAATTAATTTTAATAATATATTTTATTTAACCTAATGATCAAAATACTATCATTTGAAAATGTAATCAATATAAAATTGTTAACAAGATATCTTACTTTTTTTTTCCACAGGGGAAAGCAGGAACACAGTCCCCCACTACCACAAATCATGCACTAGAGTTTCCCGCATTTGGGGAAATCGCAGGGGTCAGCACATCCGGAGTACAATGGATAAGCCTCGCCCTGGGAAAACCATGGTATCTCCCCTGCCAGGTAAGTATTTTTACATCATTTTTTTTGTACCAAGTCTTTAAAATGTGGTATGTATTTTACAATTATAGCATATTTGAATTTGCAGGAGGTGCATTTTAAGTGCTCAGTAGCCATATGGCGATAGTAACTACTGTAAGGAAACAGCGTAGCTGCAAGTTGTAGAAAAGGGAATCTACATCTTGAAAGCACATAAATTGTCCAAAGTCATGCAATTCGTTGGGTAACTCACAGGTTTAGAGAAAATTTTTATGATTTTGGAGGTGGTGGGAGTGGAGCCACATCAGGGATGACGGCGAATGAGAGTTTCTAAAAGTCTGAGAGACAGACTGGGAACGGTGCAGACCATTAGAAATACAGAAGTAATATGTAGTCTCCTAGAACTACTAAGTTGGTATCAAATGGATTGATTTTCATGGCCAAGAAGTTATTTTTCACAATCTGAACTGAGGTTCATTTAGTCATCTGGTATTTATTTGTCGCTTGACATGGCAAGAGTAGTAATATACTGTATGTAGTAACTACATGTCAATTACAGTAACTGGTCTCAATTATGTTTGATTATTTCGCTAGCTGCACTCTAGTTACTAGCTCTTTACCAATCAGAGAAACAAATAGTCGTCATCAAGAAGTTCTGACTATATGTAGAATCACTGGGGAGTGGGGAGGTATGTTCACTACATAAAAGCCATATGATCTTGGCTCTCATTAAGCTTGATATCTAGTGGGAAAGTAATGTTAGTATAAAGATTTAGTGTAAACTTTAAACTATAGCCCTAAAGTGCTAAACTCCCAAAGTACTAAGTTCATAGTTCTGGAAATGCAGAAGGAGAGAGAGAGAGAGAGTTCATCATGGATTCTGAGTTAAAATGAAATATCTTGTTCTTTCAAAAGCAACTTCATATTCATCCTAACAGTCACACTGCCATTATTTGCACATTATACAGACAGTAAGTTTTAAAGTTAAGTTTAATCTGTTTTGTCCCATTATGAAAAGGACCCTTTGAAAATTTAGAAAATATGAAAAAAAAAAAGAAAAACATTAATCCACAATCCTAAAGACAACTATTTCTGTATATTTCCTTCCAAGTCTTTTAGGTACATTAAAAATACTTGTGATCATGAAATAGAATTGTTTATTTTGTTTTTTCTTAAAATTATGTCATAAGCATTTAAAAATATTCATATATATCATTTAAAATACCTACATGACAATAGTGGGATGTGTCATAATTTGTTCAGCCATGCCCCATGGTTAGACGTTTATTCCATTTTTCCACATTTGATGCTTCAGCGACCATCTTTGTAAACTCTTTTTCACATTCAGGATTACTTTCCTTAGGTCCAGTTCCTACTAGAAGTGGAGCTGCCAAGCTAAAGAATATACCATTTTTAAGGTTCTTGATGTATTTTGACACATTGCTTACTAGAAGGGTTGTCCCCATTTGAGTTCCCATCACAGTGCGAGAGGCCCATTTCATGTCAGTTAACAGCACTGAAGTAGTCTCATTTGTTTTTTATTTGCTAAATTGAGGGACAAAAATGTTATTTTATTGTTTTCATATCAATTCTTTGATGACCACTATTAAGTATGAACAATTCCTCATATTGTTATTTATTTATATTATTATTTACTTTGTCATTTTCTCAGGTTTTTCTTATCAGTTCGTTTTGAGTTCTTGATGTGTTTTAAGTC